GGCCCTCCTATACACGTGCTATATAACCCTTGACTATCTATTTCATCATCGAACCCCCCCCCAGCCCCTCTGTTTGACTATCTAATTGATACGAATCGCACTCCGCTTTGATATCTATTTCTCACTATCCTAACGTCCGATGTTCCGTCTCGGCCCCCTTAAGATATCAACCATCCCCCTTTATACATCTCGTTTATCATCACGATTTCAATCGACAATTAAAGTTGGAACGCTCCAATGGAGCGTTAGCCGTTACTGATAGAGCTTACCGTGGATGCTATATGATGAATCTAATGGCCATTACTTTTGGGTCACAGTAATACAGTGCATCAGCTATATAATGGGGCTGCTTTGCTAACGATACGCGCGTGTCTGCCTGATCATTTATTGATTAAATTATTCAGAAAAGCCACACCTTATCTTCACTGTGCGACGCCAATGCCATTAGTCCTATTAGCGATGTGTTATATATAACCATTCACAGCTGCTTCGATCCTATCTGTGCTATTTCCCCGCCCATGCCGCCACGAGCGCCACATACAGATGTTAAAATAATCAGTGCGCATCAACGACGCAACGGGCCAACACCGCACTGTCCTGTGTCGCAGATACTAATTAACACCAGCGGCGACTCATCAGGCTAACCGCAGCGCGTAAGTGCATCTCTCTGCAGTAGTAGCCCTCTCGACTCTCGATCCACGATGCATCATCATTTTTCACACTCACAAGTAACACAAATCTCTCTCCTACGCCGCAAGGACTCTACCTCCTCTCCTCCTTCTCCTCTCTTCTCTCATCCCTCTCTCCTCCTCTCTTCCTCTTTAGCATTCTCTCCCGTTCCTCCACTCTCTCCGTCTCTCACTTCGGTCGTCATCTTCTCTCCTTTTTCATCACTTCCCCCTCTCTCTCATCTATCCATCTCCGATCTCACGATTCATCTCTTTTATATCGTCTTTCAAGCAATACCGTCTCTCTGTGGTGGTAAAGGCTTCCGTCGCTCGGCAATGGATACGCACTCCGCTACATTCATCGTTGTGCGGGCCCTGCACTCCATCGTCGTCCGCCTGGGCGTCGCAGGCTGTTGGTTCATGGCGCCACCACGAGGATGAAAGAACACGTTGAGCGTTTGACGATCTACATAGAGTCAGCTTGCCCCGACACACAGCGCTTCCAATCTCGAAACGCTCACCCGACATGGCAGGCCATGAACAGGGTCGGGAAGTGCTTTTCGCAATCGAATTTCCGCACTCTTACGGAAAAAGATCGGTGCCAGTCTTTATATCATGGATTTGTATAATATACTAATATATATATACATATATATAATATATATACTATTATTTTCGTATTAATATGGTTTTTTGTATGGTTTTAGCTCTAGAACTATATAGCCCTTCGCTCCGCCACATGCTTCCGGCTCCGGCTTTTCGGTTAGGGCTATAGTTCTAGAGCTAGTATAGTACATGTATATGGTTTGTGATAACCAACCGGCACGTATTATAGTGCAAGGATTTATGGGCTCATGTAACTATGCCGGCATAGGTGTGGTCCCTTCGCTCCCGCTACTGTAGTGGGAGCGAAGGGACTATACCCACAGGTGAAGGAGAGCAGAGAAACATTAAGACTTTGGTAGTAAAATAGATTTGTATTTATTTAGCATTTATATTTTTTGGAAACGGCTACCAAGTGCCTGTGGGCTGTGTTGCAAAGAAACCTTTTGAAGCGGCATTTACGTGGAATTAACTTCGATAGAACAATGCACATAAAAACGTTTGTAAGACATTTCTAGTAATATACACTTCGCGATATTTTTAACTATCATTTGACCATTGAAACTAGCTCTAGAACTATGGCCCTTCACTTTGCATGTGGCTGAGCGAAGGGCTATAGTTCTAGCAGCTACATCGAAACGGTCCAAGTGCCTGTGAATGTCTGTTATCCTATATTTCCTGCCTGTCACCTATAGCGCCTTTTTTGGCCGTTTTTAGGAAGAGGTACCGGAAGGGACAGTGATCTATAGTGCCAGCACGGTACAGAACGAGTGTCGAGGCCGAGACAATTGGTTTACAGCGTGTGATCATACAATAGAAAAATGGCCACACTGCGCTAAATATAATAAGACATAAATGTGATATCATTGTGGCGATAAACATTCGAATTAAGAAAGGCGCCAGGAACGCCACAGCGGATATGTTGTGACATTGTTGACAGCGATATATACTAAAGTGTTACATACCTAGATTTATTTCTGCTTGTTGTTGCTTTACCTGGCAGGTTACAACTCTTATGTGATCTCTTTTGAAACCTGTGCCTTTTGGACACATAATCAGATATGGCAGCACCCTATAATATAGGCACACAAAGCAAGCACAGGATCATGCACAATATACGCACGCACGCAGACGTTTGTGAGTTGTGCACCACTGCGATGCGGCGAGAACACATATTCCGCCACCCCAGGGTCAAAACGTGTTGGACAACCGAGCCACTCACGCACTGTGTGAACACATTATGACGCCCTAACGCGACGCAACGATGGGTCAACAAACAGATACGCGCATCATACGCACTACTTTAACGCCCACGCACGAGCCGCATAGCACAGTATGAAACGCCGAAAACTAATCTGATATGCCATCAAACACGCACGGCAGCTAACCACGGCACCCGACAACGGCGCGCACGCCGCGCCCAACGACAGGACCATACTAATTTCGGTAACACAGCTGTACACTACTACGCCTGCCAACCCACGCACGCGCAAACTGCTGTAGGGCCCACTTTGCAACATGAGTGATCCAAAAATATCCATCACCCTCTGTGGAAACACGTTTCACCCCTCTGGGGAAAAAGCATAGGCCTACCTTAGATGAAAACGATGCGTCGTACATGCATAATGTACAAAAATCTCCACGTACGTGTGGCGTTTACATTTCTGTAGAAGCATCATCAAGCATTGTTATTTTCTGGATGTTCAACGCTCGGTTACAAAACATTTTTGTAATGAAATTCCAGGATCTGCCGTCAGATACAGTATATCATTGGAAGATATGTGACATCAAGAGCTAATAATACCTTATATATACATGATACCCAATGTTTTATTAGCTCGTGATGACATCACAAGCCTAATTGATAGAACTTGTGAAGTTAATTAAGAGTGCCAGGCTACACGTTAAGTTTTAGACCTTTAATAGTCATGAATATTTATGATGATCTTGATAAATTTATAGTCTTGTTTTTATATACAGGTTTATACAACATTCGTATGTTTCAGCATCGAATAAGGAAACAGAGTAATCGGACCCATTATATATCAGACTCCGAGATATAATTGGGGGATACGTATATACATATATATACTATATAATAGTATATTATAATATTATTATATATATTATGTGTGTGGTGGTGTGCGCGCAGCGTGCGGCGTGCGTCGCGTGCGTAAGCGTGCGTTGCGTGCGTGCGTGCGGTGCGTGCGCACCACTACAGTTCGTGTGCGTGCGTCGTGTTGCGTGTGGCGTGTGCCTGTGCGCTGTGCGTGTGTGGCGTGTGCGTGTGCCGTGTGCGTGGTGCCGTGTGCCGTGCTGCGTGTCGCCGTGTCGCGTGTGCGTGTGCGTGTGCGTGTGCGCGCGCGTGCATGTGTGTGGACGTATATTTCCGAGTGATTCGTCACTGAAGGCCAGTACAATTTTCTTGCAGACTTGTGCAATAAGCACATTTGACGACTGGAACTTGGAGCTTCAGTACATCCACTGCATGTTCAACTCGAATGTTCACCCAGCCTGGGCCGGCAAAACGGTAGGTGGTGACCAACAAACAAATCCAATACAAAATATCACATACTTGTCGCATTTTCCACCTTTATGTCTATATATGGATCATTTCTCTAAGCACGGCGTGTTTTTCAATATGAATGAAAAAAAGCTTTATTCTTCTTATTCTTCCTTCGCATTCTTAGTCCCACTCAAGAGGGTTCGCTGCTGAAAAAGAGCTTTATTATACCATCAGACCATATTATTACCATTATTACATTTATGATACCATTTTATTATATTTTTCTCAAACGTTTCAGTGTGCTGAAAAACTAGGTCAGAACTGGGAAGATATACAGTGTTGCGCCACCTCGCGGTGGGGAAACATACTACAGTACGAGGTTGGTGCTGAGACGAAAGCACTGGTTCCACGTATGACGTACATTCCATGGATCGTCATGAATGGTCAACATTCATCCGACATCCAACGAAGAGCAGAACGAAGTTTTAAGAAATTCGTATGTGATTCCTACAAGGTTCGTATACGCACACATACACACACGTGCACGCGCACGTGCACGCGCACGCACACACATACACGCACACACGCGCGCACACGCGCACACGCCCACATTAGTGTAGCATGGAAAACTTGCTACGTATAATAATGGTAGTTATAATATAATACCAGAGAGTAACACATGTTGCCCCAGCATTTATCACGTACTAGATGATGACTATAATAACATATTAATCATATGAGCTATTAATAATGCATGCAGTTTCATCTATTACATGTTTCTGCTGTGTATTATATATGCACTGCCATCGACGTCAAGTCCGCCCACACCACGCTCACGCTACAACACACACACACACACTCACGAACACACACATATATATATATATATATATATATATATATATATATATCCCAATTATATCTCGGAGTGTGATATATATGCGTCTTATATATGCATGATATATTCCCTTGCATATATTTGATTATAATGCTGCTTCTCATCCTTCGTAAACCTATGCGGCCATATGGATTTTAATGGGATAACCATATCTGTTACTGCTACTGCTACTGCTACTGCTACTGCTACTGCTACTGCTACTGCTTACTGCTACTGCTACTGCTACTTGCTAGACTGCTACTGCTACTGCTACTGCTACTTCAGCAGCTACTGCCGCCGCCGTCGTCGCAGCTGCTACTATATATAAATATATATATATATATAT